GAGGCTTAAGACTAGCGGTTCTATTCCTTTGGATGGAGAAGATTGGACTGCAGTCTAAGAAGCTATCAAGAATTTAGAGAGTTTTAGTATAGTAAAGGTGGAAGGACTTTGCAAATTGCCTTTATGAAGCGAGCTGGAGGAGATGCTCAGGAAATCTTCTCATAACAAGTACCAATCTAATATATAAGCTTAGAAAGACAGGACCTCACAAAGTATATTGTTTATTAACAGCCTTTTTTTTTACTAACAGCATTTTAACAGGGAATGATCTTCTAACCTTGGGTTTATAGTTTAGTGTGGGTTGCCTTTTCTTTCTCCCTAATTGTAGTTCCCCTATCCCTATTTTTTCTTGGTAGTTTATGTAGTATTATAAAAAAAATAAAAAATCCCCTCTGGGGGCTTAAAAAAAAGGAATGGTGTAAAATAAATGTCATATGAACAGAAGCTAAAACATACAGCAGTCTCAAAGTCTTGTTCTAAAACTAAGGTCATATGACCTTAGTGCAAGTACAGAAAGTGTTATGTTCCATAACACTGTAAAATATAAGGAGATGTCTCTAAATTATAAATTCTGTCACTATGACTCACTGTGGCACAAGTGGAGCTCACACTCATGGAGCTTTCTCCACTCAAGCAAGTGTGGGCAGCGTCAGATTTCCAGGATCATCTAGAGTTGTATCTGCTTCGGCCCTAAGTCCTGCTAAAAATCAATCGAACAAGTTAAGGCTTTCTGCTGGAGCAAGTCATAATTCTGATTTGCTGGACTGGGCCATTGTCTCTTCATCTGGAGGGGCAACCTTTGCAGGTCATTCCATAACCAACAATTTGATGTGAGCAGTTCCGTCTCTGTATATGAAATGTACTGGGTTCAAGACGCATAGTCGAGTGATTTCAGCTCATAATTTATTAGTAGGCAAAACTGAGACAAGGAAGCAGGACCCGGGGGTCTGCTTATATGTCAGTCCAAACCACACCCAACAAACACACCCCACACCTGTGATAGGTTTATTTACAGTGCACCAATAACCTTAGGTTCCTTTGCAGATCTGGGCTAAGCCTGTTGGTCCTTTTTAGGATTCTACGAGTCTATTGTTTCGGGTCGCGAAGCTTTGCTCTTGCGCTTGACCGCGTGCGCACCCGACCGCATGTGTGGTCTTTTGTTAGTACATAACAGTATAATTACTTAGAATCAATTTGGACTAGTCCTCAAAGATCTAGAGTAGCATCTGGGAGATTGGGAGGGGTCAAGTTCAATTTTTGCCATGGATTTATTCTGTGACCATGAGAAGATGAAATTTCTCAGGCTAAGTTTCTACTTGAAAAATGGGAATAATTGCAGTCCCATTTACAAAACGCCTGTCAAAACAGAATATAATAAAGACTATAATTGGCTGTGGAAGGTAAGTAATTCAGCAGTTCGAGACCCGGGTGCCGCAAGACGGAGTGAGCTCCCGTCTCTAGTTCCAGCTCCTGCCAACCTAGCTGTTCGAAAGCAAGAAATTGCAAGTTGATAAATAGGTACCACTTTGGTGGGAAGGTAACAGCGTTCTGTGCACCTTGGTGTTTAGTCATGCCGGCCACATGACCACGGAAACATCTTCGGACAGCGCTGGCTCTTCGGCTTTGAAACGGAGATGAGCACCGCAACCCTAGAGTCAGATTTGACTGGCTTTCGAGCAAGGGAACCTTTACCTTTACCTTTTATAATTGGCACTTCCAGTTAAAAGTAGTATATGATTAGGAATTACTGGTAGTATTGCTATCATGGAGTAGTAGCCAGGTGGGATTTATGAAGGCATAGATCTGAATATGGTACATTCTTATGGGATGTAGAAATGGCCTATAGTCTACTTGAATTTAAAGGGGGAAGTGACTGGACAGATTCATGGAGGTAGGTCCATCAGTGGCTTTTTGCCATAATGACTAACCTCCATGTTCAAATGGGGTAACTCTATTATTGTGTAACACAATCTGTATTGTAGCAGGTTGTCTGGATTTTGTACCAATGTTAAGCTGTACAGTACAATAAATTATTCCTCCAACAAGAAATCAGGACACTGAAGACCATTTCCTTGCTCCTAATTGCTGTTTAATGTCATTGGAATTTTAAAGAATTAATCAATTAGCTTAGCTTCCTATCATTATAAGATTCCTTACCCAAAGTTGTTTCTGCCTATCCTTTGATTGCTAAACAACAGAGGCAACCTTCCTTGAAATAAAGGATTTGCTTTCGGCAGGGCTGCTGAAAGGCAGCCACCATAGGCCCCTGGACAAAAATTCAATATGGGCCCTCTCCCATGACCCTGATCCAAAACAAAGCAAATTACTTGTCTGTTTCTGTAAATAGAATAATAATTGTTACCTGGCTATAAGGCCCATTGAACTGAGTGAGACACTAGTCTCTCTCAAGCAGTAAATGGCAAAAATACTTTCAAAAAACATTTCTACTAAAAAGGGGGGGGGGGAGACTCACGGGATGCTTAGTAGATCTAAGGGTACACAATTGACCAGATCCTTTGGGAGCGAACCTAAACAGGTATCCTTAGAAGTAAGTCCCATTTTATTAAGTGGGGCTTACCCACACTTTTGTGTTTCCTTTGCATATGAGCCTTTAAAATTTAACATATAATATACTAATTCCCCACCCAGAAAGGTTATGCTCTTGCTCCCTAGGGGAGGCTTAGTCTGTGGAGCATATGTTCTTTAGCTGTCCACTCTACAGAGATATGTCTTGGAATTATTTCTCTATTACTTGATATGGCAGTGTGGCACTACAACTCAAGGAGTCTGGAGAAAAGCTGACGCCATCAAACTTGGCTGAGGGAAAATGCCGTTTCGGATCACGTCTCATCTGCATCTTAACGAAACCCTCGTCGGCTGTGAATGTGTGCAATTTAAGAGGTATATATGTTGTCCTCCCTTACCCCACAAAGCATTGTTAGTCCCTCGTGAAAAATAAGTAACTGTAAATCGCTCAGAGCCAGCAAGCTCTGCAGGATTGAGCGATCAATAAATTGAAAGATTATTATTATTATTATTATATGATCCCTGGCCATATAAACACAAATAAAGCAAGGCTTCACTGGTTTTTATCTGACAAAATTCTACGATCACATGTCAAGTTACTAAATTTTGTGCATTTTCAAATCACGGGAATTCCACCTTAAAAGCGCTTAAATTTGAATTTTTTATTATTGTATTTTATGTCTGATTAAACTGTATGCTGGTCTAAAGACTGTAATAAACAAACAGCAAGAACATATAATATTAATTACTTACAAGATACCATAGCTCCATAGCATGCATTTTAATGGGATTTAGAACTGCTTTTCTTCCTTACTAACAGTCATTTTTCCCATGGGTGTAATAATGTCTGCAGAGTATTCTGCTCCTGAACATGGGGGTTCTATTTGGTCATCGTAGGCACTTATGGACCTTTCCACCTCCATGAATTTGTCTAATCCTCTTTTAAAGTTTTCTAAACCAGCAGATGTCACTTCACAGTAGTTTACCCAATGAATTATGCAGCATGTGATATAAACTAAAACTAAGACTTTCCCCTAAGGCATTCACTATTCCTTATTTATTACGTCTAATACAGATTGATACAGATCACAGTACATGTAAAGGGGGGGGATCATCCTTTTACGGCTTTGATCAGTTCTTGGGAAATATTGACACAGAGGTTTTCTGTTTTACTAGTTAAGTATGTTCTGACTCCCCAGCCAGGGAAGGGATGAGGAGAAGGTTGGAAAGGGGGGGAGGCACACAGAAGAATTAGGTCATATGGGTTAGTTGATGGGTTTAGGAACATTTCATGATAGGTGAATACTTGCTTCAGCCTCATGGTTTAGAAACTCTGCAGCAATGGAGAACTTTTTAATGAAATGACTGCTAAAAAAAGGTGGCAAACAGCTACAACGAGGAAGAGGGTCTGTCCCTTAGCTCTGTCTTATCTGTGCCCCTACTGGCTGCAGTGCAGAACTGCATTAAATGCATTAGTTAAATACAGGATGTTCGAACTTCTCTGGGCCCTGAAGCTGACTTGAGCCCCGGAAATTTTGTACCCCCACATCCTACCCACTTAGAAGCTCTGGATTCCAGATGAGGTTTTTCTATAAAGCTACAAGCTGCATTCACTTGATCCTGGCTAAATGTCCAAAGTTTTTCAAGACTTTATAATCTGAGCTTCATCTTTGTAAGGAAGGAATTTCTTTTTAATTTAAGGAGACAAAATCTGGATTTGATGCTTGTACAAATAACAGTACATATATCTGCCTGCCTTTTAACAGTCAAGTAGCGAGCTAATAATCAATGTTTACTGCTATTTCTTTATTTTGTACTAATCTGTTTTTACCAAGTGAATCAGTGTTCTGATCAGGACTTATTCTGATAGACTTCTAACACCATAATTAAGCATAATTTGCTAGAACTACTGGGTAAATTGTATTGGTGGTTGGGAAGAACTAAAAGATACCCAAGTAATCTAGACACAGATATTTAATCCATAGCAATTACTACCAGTTGGTAATCACAATGTCCTGTTGCTCTGAATTGTATGTGTAATACAAGAGGGTTGGTAATTACCAGCTGCCAATTAACTATAGTTTGTGGTGGGTTTAATGACAGTGGTAAATAATTATTATAAACTCTCATTTTAATCATGCCAAAGAATTAAAAATGAAAGACCTCCAGATCTGCAAGATTATTATTATTATTATTATTATTATTATTATTATTATTATTGGATCACTAATTTGAAAATACTTCTCCATGCCTGAAATAAACATCTAGCTTTCTTTTAATTTTGGTGGGGGTAGAACTGCAGATGGCTATGAAAATATTTTTGATAGATTTCATCAGATTTCATTTCCCTTGTGATTTTGTTCCCCTTAGGTCTCTACAAGTAGCAACATTCATACAAAGAAAACATAAGACCTAATGAAATGGTAGATTAAGGCCTTCCCTGCTAGGCTCACTGTGGTCACTGATTGCAGAAAATGGAGAACCTTCCAGAGGATGTGACAGGAAATAATACTGCGAATTGCACCATTGATCACAGCATACATCAGATATTGTCACCTGTGATATACATACTTGTCTTCGTTGTAGGACTCCCAGCCAACTGTCTTTCACTGTACTACGCCTACTTGCAGGTTAAGGTCAAGAATGAACTGGGAATCTACCTTTGTAATTTGACTGTAGCAGACCTGTTTTACATCTTCTCCTTGCCATTTTGGCTCCAGTACGTTCTACAGCATGACAACTGGACCTATGATGAACTCCTATGCAAAATCTGTGGAATCCTCTTGTATGAAAATATTTACATTAGCGTGGGTTTCCTCTGCTGCATTTCAATTGACCGTTACCTAGCTGTGGTGCACCCTTTTCGCTTCTACCAGTGTCGCACAATGAAGGCCGCTATCGTGGTGAGCATTGTCGTCTGGACCAAGGAAATTCTCACATGCTGGTTTGTTTTTAAGCACGGTGAAGTGAGTAAGGACTCGGACAGCCATGTAGTGTGCTTTGAGCATTATCCCATCAAAGACTGGGAGCACAACATCAATTATTACCGTTTTGCTGCTGGCTTCATATTCCCATTTTTTCTGCTAGTTTTTTCTTACTGTGGCATTTTGAGGGTTGTACGCAAGAGTCATGGCACTCAGAAGAAGAAAAAGATTCAAATCAAACGTCTGGTTTCCAGCACAATTGTTATTTTCTTGGTTTGCTTTGGGCCATATCATGTTCTATTGTTGGTGCGTAGTCTCTTTGAGGAAAATTGTACATTTGCTGCTGCAATCTTTAACAGCTATCATTTTTCTCTTTTGCTAACCACTTTCAACTGTGTTGCAGACCCAGTTTTGTACTGCTTTTCCAGTGAGAACACCTACCAGGACTTTGTCAAAATAGGAGACACCTGTTTAAGGTGCCTAAGATGTGTGCAGATAAAAACCAAGGAATCTTACCAGCTGAACACTCCTGAAACATTCAAAAAATTCAAAGAACAGACTGAGCTGGATCCAGAATTGTTAGATAAACCACATGTTCATGAAATGGAGGAAACATGAATTAACATTTCTCCAAAAGGAAAAGCAATCTAATATCTCCATGCATGTATGTATTCACTTCTCTTTTTGGTATATGATTGTATGGGAATCATTCATTATACCCATAAAGGGATCTGTAGTTTAAAAATACAATAAACTATGCTAAGCTGATCTTCTTCTTTCCACGTGGGGAATTCCTTAGTTCCTTTAAAGTCATCCAGAGCTTTATCACAGGGCCGGGTAATTATATGAACAAGTCATCCTTTGCAGTTCAGTATCATCATATGCATATGGTTAACTCAGTTAATCTCTTGTTATGGAAAGGACATGAGGAACTAATAATAACTCTTGTAGATTTAAGAACGTAAGTGTCCTGGTGAGTAAAGGTCTGCCTAGTCTGACATCCTGTTTCCTACAATGCTCAGGTGTCCCCAGAAGGCATAGAAGAGCCCAGAGCTGCCTCTTGTCATTGTCACTCAGCAAATGTGGCCATGACTCACCGAACTGGCCAGGATTGCAGTGTGGGCGCCTGAGGTTCTGCAGGAGGCTTTCCCGCCCTGACCAGCCATCCAGTGAAGGCAGGAGCCTTGGGCAACCATGCTTGCTGGCTCCACATCAGCAAGGGGCTGGCTCTCATAGGCGGACTGGGTTTTTGGTGGGCTCTGATGTGAGCCTCGCCAGGGCATTTAAGCCGAGCCTGTGTCCTTGGCAGCACGGTTTTTTTGGATCCCCACCCTAGCTCCCCTTTTATAATTGTGTATAGATGTTTTTGTCACAGCCTGGGTGGTTTTCCATATCGTGGCAAATCCTTTTGGGGGGAGGCAGGCCTGCACGTCCAACTCCCCCATTTGGGGGACTCCCTTATGGGGTTTTCGGGGTTTGAGCCACCACACAGTATGCCCAGCTTGGGGGCTGTTTGCGGGCTCACCCCAGGTTACGAACGGTATCATTCAGCAGCAGCCACCCTTGTGTTACCATCAAATATTGTCACTCCCTGGTTTTCCCAGCAGGCGAGCTATGGGATGTCCATCAAGCAGCAGATGGGTCGCTTGAGCCCTGGATTTGCCCCATGTTTTGCCAATGCTCCTTGTCTGTTTTCAATAAAAGCTATGGCTTGTTTTCATTCCACAAAAATTTGTGTTGCGTGTTTTGTTACTCTCCACAAGACCTTTCCACCTCAAGCCCTGGGCCTGCAATTAGTATTCAGAGATGCACAGCCTTTGAACACAAAAGGCCCATTTAGCAATCATGGCTAAAACCAGAAATTTGTGTAACATTGACCCTACGTCCTTTCAAACACATTTCAGAAACCAGTTAAAATTAGAGTATTAGTACCAGGGGTCATTTCCTGCAGGAGCGCACAGGAGTGGAGCTCCGGCAGTAAAGAGCCCAGGGGGCAGGCACATGCAACAAGCCCTGCTCCCAGCAGCCCTGGGCCATGAGGAGCAAGAAGCAGCCAGGTAAGTTGCAGAGCCCCCCACCCCGAGGCACAGAGCCTGGGGAAGGCCTCCGGAGCCCCGCCGCCCGCCTTACCCGGCACCTGGCTGGTGTGGGGTGGCGGCAGCGGGGGCTTGATTGGGGGGCGAGCCATACACACCAGCAGCTGCGTGTGGAGGCATGGGGAATCAAACCATGGTGGGGGCTTGATCGGGGGTGGGAGAGCCTCCCCCCCATCTGTTTGCCCTCTTTCTTTCCCTCCTTCTTTCCTTCCTTCCTTCGTGCACAGATTTGTGTGTGTGTCCCCCCATAGATAGCAATCCAAAACAGTCCAGTGGCAGCTTTAAGACCAAGTTTTATTCAGGTACAAGCTCTCCCTCCTCTGTGAGGGCAGATCTGCACGGTCTCCCCCCATAGCTAGCAGTCCAAAACAGTCCAGTGGAGCCTGAGTAGTGGATGTTGCCTTCTGACACACTTCCGGTGATGTCAGGGGTGTGTGGCATATGCAAATAAGTTATGCTAATGAGTTATGCTAATGAACTCCTGCACCTCTTTTTCTACGAAATGACCCCTGCTTAGTACTGTTTGGTAATAGAAACCTAATTGGGAGAATTCAGAGCATTCATTCTGTGCCATAAACTTGCATATACCTTCAGGTCTGTTAGTGGATAACTGAACACAAAAATTACCAATTAAGCTGCAGAATTGTTTATATATTTACATTAAATTTAAAATGTTACAGCTCTGAATCACGTTTAAATGATTACAAGAAGGAACCTGTAAAGGCTTGCAGGGAAAGGGGAAACTGCACCCCATCACATACTGTTAGGTTAATTTCCACTTCCCCCACACTCACCTCTACTTCCTGCACCTAATGGCCACTGCTTCCAGATTCTGGGTTGCCAAGTCAACCCACTCTTCAGAACACTTCAGAACACTGAGGCCTCCAGCTCATGTTGTGCTTTGGGAAATCAGAGCCCATTGGGGGAATCAGTGACATCTTCCAAGTAGTTAGTAACCGATCTGGCATATGATGTTTGGGTTGTTGTTGTTCAGTCACACAGTCAAGTCCAACTCTTTGCGATCCCATGGACCACATCACGCCAGGCCCTCCTGTCTTTCGCCATCCTCCAAAGTTTGCTCAATGATGTTTGGGAGAAAGCACTAAAACCTACAGCTGATTCCCCAAAGCACAGTTTGTGTAAGTCTGAGGGAATACACAGCCAACCCAAAATGGAATCAGAGTTCTCATGAGGCCATTTCTGTTCTGAGGAAATAAAATATAGATTTTATATTAAATATATCCTACCCTTGAAGAGGATTTGTTTTAAGTTACCATTCAGTTTATTCAGCAGTTTTGTGCAGCTAAGTTCTACTCTGGGCCAAGCAGTACATTTAGAGGCATAAGTTTGCCTGGCTTATTTTCTTTGTGCTTACTTCCACAATCTGTTCTACCTTCACTGTGTGTCTCAGCCAGATCATAGCCCAACATTGTCTGGATGCAACAGAACTGAATAGGGGTGAATACCACACGTTTATCATCAGCTGGTGACATGGAAATGACCACAGCCAAGATGATATAACACGTATGACTTACATCAAGAGGACTGAAGTCATCTGTTGATCTGATCACTAGTTTACAATGATATGCTGTTGAATGCATGAGGACACCACATGCTAAACTGCATACAGTTGCTTTTAGTAGTAGTAAGCATATTTTCATGGAAAACACAATAATTTCAAAAAAAGAAAATCAGTAGCAGTGAAAAGGATGCTTTATTTGATATCTGTGATCATTATTGGAATTTTTTCTAAACCCATAATTGTGCTGCTCATAAATTGGCTAAGCCATACCTATTCCCTATCAGAATGTGCTTTCAGACCTCAACGAGTATTTAAAAGTGCCTCATTTCATCCATCTTCCGGTTATTGCACACTACAGGGGAGGACTTCCTTATCAACTCTGCAGCATCTCCCCATCCATTTATTTATTTTGCATAAAATTCAGGCTGAAACTATGATGATCTCAAATCTTGTTTGCTACTTTGACACATTTCAGTTGGTCCTCATAAAAGATGCTATACTACCACTGCTTTGGGATTTTATCTAAAGTTATGTTGTAGGATTGCACTGATTCAGTAGGCTCTATTGCAAGCAAAATACCTTTCAGATGCCATACAGTTAAATTGTTTTTAGTCTATTCCATCTCATTTAGGCTCAAGATAGCAAGGGACAGTAGCTGCTGCCAATACAGCAGTGTCATCAGCACTTAACCAAAACATACCAGCAGATCACCACTTGTTAGAGGAAAGTTATTTCAGAGTTTCCTGCAGAAGCTTCTCAATAATAAGTGAATGAGTGTCATAGAATGGCAGACCATCCACTTCCATTGCCAGACTGGCAGTTTTTCCACTACGGACTTTGTGCTGCTGTAATATGTTCAGCAATTTTTCTTCCTAGAAAAAAAATTAGACAGCATTGTCAATATATCTATCATTCAGGCACCATTGACCACAACTGTGGTACATATGACTGTAGTGATTCATTTTGTTGTTGTTAACACTGCTAAAACACTGCAACTAATTTGTTCTCCCATGAAATAATCTTTCATAATCTCTTTTTATTTGCTCCAATGGGCATCATGTGTATCTAGATTGAGTGTGTGTGTGTGTGTGTGTGTGTGTGTGAGAGAGAGAGAGAGAGAGAGAGAGAGAGAGAGAGAGAGAGAGATATTTTCCTCAGGTTTCTGCAATGAGAAATTTTGGGGGGGGGGGAATAAAATCTAAACAATTATAAGAATCTTTACATGCAGGAGCCTGCATATTCTACTTTAAAACTATCAGAACGTTTAAAAAATGGTATCCTATGACATGGGCTGGGGACATTGACATGACATCAATGCTTGAATTATGGAGAAAAGATAGCAAAGTCTTTCCCATACTTTACCTCCCCAATTTTCTCAGTTTATCCCCATCCTATAATTAGACTAGCTTGATGTAGTGGTTAAGTGCGTGGACTCTAATCTGGGAGAACCAGGTTTGATTCCCCACTCCTCCACTTGCACCTGGCTGGATGACCTTGGGCAAGCCGTAGTTCTTTTTTTTAATTATTAACTCTCCTAAAAAGGAGATAATTTTATTGCTTTTAAATTTCAGAAAAACAGGAAGGGTATATAGAGGGATTAAGAAAAGTGGTGAGTGATGTTTGAATTAGTATATTAGTCTTTTGTTAGTATTTCACAAAGTCTGTGGCTTCTTCTACGATTAAACGATCCACTTTCATCTTTACCTGTAAAAAATAAAGACATTAGATATGTTAATAATGTCCTTTTGGGGGTTTTATTGTCTCTTATTGCGCTTTCCGAACAAATCCTCAGGCGTTGGGGTGCTTCCCTTTTTTATCTCTCAAGTTGTAAGTTGGACCTGCTTCTCCATCTTCCGATTCTTTAACCTCTCCCTCCGAGCTGCTGTCTTCCTCGCTACTGACCGCCATCCACTTAGCGAGTTCTGCTTCTTCCTCTAAGCTGGCGTGCCTCTTCAAAAAGTCTTGAGCCTTGAAGATGGAGTCTATCTTTTCTCTCTTGTCTTTAAATTTAAAGACAAGTCCTTCTGGAATCAACCATCTGTAATTAATTTGATGATTTTGCAAGAATGTGGTCAACCCTTTATATTCCTTTCTTTTCATGCGAATTTCAAAGGGAACATCTTTCAAAATCCTTATGGTCAGTTCTCCGATTTTCAAAGGCGTTGATGATGTTGCTTTTAAAATTTGATCTCTGATGCGTTGTTTAGTAAATTTCACGACCACTTCAGCTGGCAGGTTATTTTTCTTTGTAAAGTTGGAATAGGCACCATAGGTCAAATCCATCTCTTCTCTTAATTTTTCCGCTTCACTGCCAGACAGTGGTGCCAGAGCATTCGCCAGTATGCTTCTGAGATCTTCTTTTTCAACCTCCTGCAGACCTTGAAATCGGAGAGTCAGGTTTGATTTCTCCATTTGTAACATCAATAGCTTATTATCCTGCATTTCTTGATGTTTTTCCATTTTATTGACCTTCTTGGTTTTTTGCATTTCTTCCGTTGATACCAGGCATTTCTTTGCAATCTCCTCCATCTTCTTGGTTGTATCTGTCAGTTGTTTCTGCTGGTTGCTGAGGACAATTTCCATGTTAGACAACGTTTGGTTGATTTTCTGCATTTGCTCCAGCAGAGGGCGCAGCATCTCGCCTTCTTGTTGATTGACAGCCGACTCGGTAAGGCGGGGGTTAAGACCGGAAGTTCCTCCCAGCCTCTTCGTCTGCTTCTCCTGCAACTTCTTCTGCCCCGACATTTTAACTTTATTGTTTACTTTTTAAAAGTTCGTGCCGCGCAGCTTGGGAGTCAATCCCTCTCCTTCGCTTTAAGCAATTTCCCAAAAGGTAATTTTCTTTTTTAAGATTTTCCCTCCCCCCTCCTCTCTTGAATAAAACAGTCTTGTTCTATCTGTGTGTGTGTGGGTAGCCACTCTCCTCCCTTACGCTTATTCCAATGGGGGAGGGAGTGCGCTTGAACCTTTGCCTTTTATTTCGATCGTCAACTCACAGTTCGCCACCAGTCACTTTATTTTATTTTCGTTTCATCGCTTCATCACTCCGAGAAGCTGGTGGCGTTGCTAGTCCCCATAAGGGACACTATGCGGCGGGGCCTCTGGGGCATAGGGAGAGCCTCAATTTTCCGACCTTCTGATCGCTAAAGAGGCACTTCCCCGGTGCACCCCCTGGTTTGGAGCCTTTGACTAAGGCTCCTTAGGGTCTCCGCTTGTGCGGATCCCCCCCCAACTGCGCGTGGGCGAATCACCTCCGGGAGCGTCCCAAGAGAGCGACCACCATTCGCGCCGCCAAAACCGGAAGTCTGGGCAAGCCGTAGTTCTGATAAGAGCTGTTCTTGAAAAAGAGCAATCTCTGTGAAGAGCTCTCTCAGCCCCACCCACCTCACAGGGTGTCTGTTGTGGGGAGGGGGAAGGCAAGGAGTTTGTAAGTGGCTCTGAGACACCTTTGGGTTGTGAAGGAAGGGGTATAAATCCAATCTCTTCTTCTTCTTCTTCGACTAGCCACACCCCCAGCTGTGTTCCTTCCGTGTTCAGTATAAATTACTCATAAAATGCATACATTGGGATTCATCAAGACATATCAGACAACTCTAGTAGTCGTCTGACTGAGCCATTTTTGTCCCATACTTGCTACACGGCCTACTTGCTAGCCGACACTTCTTCTTTTTTTAATAAAGATTTTATTGGCTCCCCTAAAAAGGGGAGGTATTTCGGTTAAAAGAAAAAATGGGAAGGGTAGACAGTGGGAGAAAGAGAAAGCTGAGTGATATATAAACTGGTAAATTAAACTGTTAGTAATGTCCAATTAATCTTCTTGGGCTTCTTCTGTGTGTTGTCAAACTTCTTTTCCTAGTCCTGTCACATGTAATTCTCTGTTAGTATGTTAGTAATGTTCCTTTGAATTTCTGTTAATAAAAAAAATCTCTTCTGGGCACATTCAGAACCGCTTCTTTGCGTGCTGGGTACTTTTACTATCGCTGACATGGAGGAGCTTCCTCTGTTGTCTTCTTCCGGCTTGTTAGATCCTCCTTCGGGTTGCTGTTAACACTCTCAGTTCATGCACTATAAATCCTCTTCGTTTCATGCCATTACTGGAGGTCCCCAGCTTTGAGAATGGTATTAATTTCATTTTCGCTTTTA